GGTTTGAATCAAAATTGTGTGTTCATTTTTTTTTTATTGCTTTTGTTCTAAAATTAGATTAACCATAAAAGAAGAAATCATGTACATTTAAGCTAAATTAAATTAAAATTTTCTTGATGATTCTATTTTAATTTACTCAGGTAATGAATAGATCTACACATTTTTTAATCTAATTTTTTTTATAGTTCTATTGTTATTTTTTTCTGTACAATGCCTAGATTGATAAGTCATATTGATATGATTTTTTTAGTAAAATTCGATTTAAATAAATAATAAATACTAAAAATTTTAAGAATTAGATCTATTGTTAAATAAATATTCTTTTATAAGTTAGATATACGATTTAATTTTAAGACTAACAGTTAACAAAAATTAATTTTTTTAAATATATCAAATTAATCTAAAAGTATTTAAAATTGTTCAAAAAAATTAATATCTAAGAGCGTGAAAACTAAGAGACATTCTAATAGTAGATAAATAATAATAATAAATATTAGAGTGGTATATTTTATAAATTTAAAATAATATGTAGTTTAATTTAGAACATACATTATATTTTTATTTGGTTTAAAGCGAACAGTCATCCCTCTACTTTTATATTTTATTCGTTCTTGTCCCTCTACTAAGGATTTGTTTGTTGTCGTCCCTCTACTCCTCTTTTTTGGTTCATTGTCATCTCTTCGTTGACACCGTTTATGTTGCCGTCACTGCTGACCAGTACGTCCTAAACAGTCAACAGTTAAACTAATTTGTTCTATATTTTTTTCACATGTGCTGCCACCTGTGCAACAATGGGGACCCTCCCTGCTTACTCAGACCCCATACTTTTTTTTTTTTTTGCAGAGATGCCATACTATCATTTTTTTTTTCAGGAAAGTGATCAACCAGAGCCTTTTAAATTTGAAGGAAAAAGGAAAATAATAATTATGTAATAAAATTGATAAAATTAAATTTTACACTATGCTTCAATTGTTATAACTAAATGTTTTGATATTTTTAAAATCAAAATGCCTTAATTTTTTTTATTTTCATATTTTAAAATTAAGGAAGTAGTATTTTTTTGGTACAAATGTAGATCTCAAATATGAAGCACCCTCAAAATTAAGGACCTCAAAATAGAACAAAAAGTAGCAAATTACTAATATTAATGAAATTCGATAATTAATTTATTGTTAATTCTTCTTTTTTTTAATGGGAAATTGATTGTCAATTCTTATTGCAGGGTTCTCAGCTATTGTGGTTTAGTCCATCCAAGAGAAGCTCCCGTCGGTCTCTTCTTGGTTTATAACTATTAACGCTGAGAGCGAGTTATGCAGGAGAAAAATCTACTAGTTATGTTTACGGTAATGAGCTTAAAAAGGCCGAGCAAAAGTCATGGCGAAGGCCAAAAGTGGATCCAACACCACCTCCATCTCCATGTTCAAAACATATTTGCAGAACCAAACCAGGATGTACATATTGTCATCCGGACATTCAGTTAATTGGGTGCATAGCACCAACTACAACTGCAAGAGAAAGTTGTGTAAGCCTTTTTTTGGGGCAACAATACAATTGGAGACCACATGTGTGTCCGATACTAAAAGAGGGAGGCCGAGAAGGATTACACACATGTTGCTGTCTAGAGTCAAGTTGCACAGAGAAAGAGAATAGCGAGAACTCATCAGTAAAAGATCGTAAACAAAAGCCGGTGAAGAAGGGTCCACAGGACTACAGAGGAAGAGATGGATTTTGTGTCAATATAGCTATAGCAGGAAAATGCGAGGAAAATGAGCAATCGCATAAGAAAAAAGTTATTTGCTGCTAAACTTCCAGGGACAATCATGGGTATAGTGCTTGCAGCAGTGTTTTCTACCGAAGTTTTCATCAAGATTTCAACAGCATTGATGGTGATGTTACGACCTTGGTGAAATGGAAAATGATATAGCAGATGAAAACAAAACTGGTGAAACGGAGAAAAAAGATAAAAAAGATAAAAAGGGTGAAGAGAAAATTGATGGAAATGTGGAAAGCAAATTCCAGTTGCCTTATTTCCAGAGGTAAAGAAAGCAGCAAAAGTGGTTCTCAAACTATTACCTTTATGGCAAACATTCGCATCTACATGTTATTTGGTTAGTGCAATAGTTGAGTCTTTCTTCATGGAACAAGTTGATTATCTAGAGAACAATAACCAGAGCTTCAAGATTCCTAAATCCGTTTTCTCTTTTTTTTTTGCTGGAGCTTGTCTCCAAAATAACCGAGCAGGTGTGCCATTGTCTAATCGAACAATACCATGATAGAAAAAAACAATGGTGGGCTAGGGTCCTCAGAATCAGCATTGGTATGCTTTTTCCTCTTTGTGTTGCATAGTAGCTTCTCTTGTTGCTCACAGATTGGATTCCAATTATAATTTTGCCAGCCTGTTATGGCTTCTGCCGCAGTTTCTTCTGTGGGGAATGATGAAAGGAATACTGGAAGAAGGGTTAGAAGAATTTCTCCATGACCATATAGACAATGACTTACAGGTACAAGCAGTATGCGGAATTGTGGATACTGTAGAGAACTTCCTCAGTATGATACTCACAGTAGCTTCTCCAAGCAGCTGGGTTGGCAGTGGCAATGACATTAGCAAAAGTCATCTTGAGAATTACTATCGCATGCTGGCAATTACAACCCTATTCTCCACATTTTTGTTCACCATTGTTGCCATTGCCAAAAACAACCCAACCAAAACCCCATACCCTCCCTCTCTCTCTCTCTCTTTCTAAATTAACAAAATCCCATTGCAACGCCTCTCTTTTGCAACTCGCGAATCAGAGACACATGGCTCAGAGAACCGAGAAAGAAGAGACCGAGTTCAAGGTGCCAGAAACCTTGACTCTTTGCATTAACAACTGTGGTCTCACCGGTAATCTCGCTACCAATAATATGTGCCAAAAATGTTTCAACGCCACCACTGTTACCACCTCCTCATCGCCCTCTTCCACTGCCAACATCACAACTGCTGGGGCTGTTGCTGTTGGACCCTCAGTCTTAACATTCTCAGGTAAGCAATCCTCCAGATCTGCGAAAACTCATCTCTGTAACAACAAAAAAAAAAAAAAATGAAAGCATGGGGTCTGAGTGAACAGGGAGGCAAAGTGGGCAAAGTGGTCCCATTGTTGCACAAGTGGCAGCACATGTGAAAAAAATAGAACGATTTAACTGCTGATCGTTTAGGACTTAACGGTTAGCAGTGACAACAACATGAACGACGTTAGGGAAGGGACGACAATGAATCAAAAAAGAGGAGTAAAGGGACGATGTTTGGCTCTTTAGTAGAGTAGAGGGCCAACAACGAACAAATCCTTAGTAGAGGGACAAGAACGAATAAAATATGAAAGTAAAGGGATGAAAATTGGCTTTAAACCATTTTTATTTCTCATTTATTTTGAAGTGGATCCCACTTGTCGTGCGATTGTCAGCTCAGCTTTGGAACCCACTAAATGAAGGCTCCGTTAGTTTTTTTGACAGAACAATGATGTCAACCGTTAAACAAGGG